GAGGTTTAAGACCTTAGATGTTTTCATTTCTCTAGAAATTAGAGTTTTTATAGGGGTTAGTCTACTTAATAAATGGTATATGAAGTTTAAATAAAGTACTTAATAAAAAATTAGAAATGATGCCCATCTACCATGAAAATACGTTTACCATACATAGGGGTTAGTCCACATATTTCAAAATAAATAAGAAATTTTGATATTTTTGTTTTATTTCATAGCTGCATCATTCACTGACATAGTATGAATATTAAAGAGGTTTAAGACCTTAGATGGTTTCGTTCTCTAAGAAATAGAGATTTTATAGGGGTTAGTCCACTTATTAGGTGGTATACGAAGTTTAAATAAATTACTTAATGAAAAATTAGAAATGATGTCCATGTACCATGAAAATAGGTTTACCATACACATATATTAATTTATGATGTTATTAGTTATTTTTAATTAACACTAAAGACATTAAATGTTATAGATAGTATTTAACAGAAATTCAATATTTTGTAGGCTTTAGCCCACATATTTCAATATAAATAGGAAAATTTGATATATTATTTTATTGCATAGCTGCATCATGCCTTGACATAGTATGAATATTCAAGACGTTTAAGACATTAGATGTTTTCGTTTCTCTATAAAAATAGAGATTTTAAAAAAGTTAGTCAACTTATTCGGTGGTAGATGAAGTTTAAATAAATTACTTAATGAAAAATTAGAAATGATGCCCATTTATCATGAAAAAGTTTTACCATACATATATATATATATATATATATATTAATTTAGGGTGTGATTAGTTATTTTTAAATAACACTAAAGAGATAATATGATAGATAGCATTTATCAGAAAAATTCAATAATTTTGCAGGGCTTAGCCCACATATTTCAAAATAAATAAGAAAATATGATATTTTTGTTTTATTCCATAACTGCATCATTCACTCACATAGTATGAATGTAAAAGTTGTTTGAGACCTTAGATGTTTCCGTTTCTCTAAAAAATAGAGATTTTATAGGACGTAGTCCACTTATTAGGTGGTATATGAAGTTTAAATAAATTACATAATGCAAAATTAGAAATGATGCCCATTTATGATGAAAAAAGGTTTACCATACATATATATAAATTTAGGGTGAAATTAATTATTTTTAAATAAAACTAAAGAGATTAAATACTATAGATAGCATTTATAAGAAAATTCAATATTTTCGTAGTGGTTAGCCCACATATTTCAAGATAAATAAAACAAAATATGATATTTTTGTTTTATTGCATAGATGCTTCATGAACTGGCATAGTATGAATATTAAAGAGGTTTAAGACCTTAGATGTTTCCGTTTCTTTAAAAAATAGAGATTTTATAAGGGTTAGTCTACTTATTAGGTGGTATATGAAGTTTAAATAAATTACATAATGAAAATTTAGAAATAATGCCCATGAACCTTGAAAATAAATTTAAAGTACATATATATAAATTTAGGTTGTGATTAGTTATTTCTAAATAACACTAAACATATTTAAATATTATAGATAGAATTTATCAGAAAATTCAATATTATCGTAGGGGTTAGTCCACATATTTCAAGATAAATAAGAAAATTTGATATTTTTGTTTTATTTCATAGCTGCATCATGCACTGACATAGTATGAATATTAAAGAGTTTTAAGACCTTAGATGGTTTCATTTCTCTAAGAACTAGAGATTTTGTAGGGATTAGTCCACTTATTAGGTGGTATACGAAGTTTAAATAAATTACTTAATGAAAAATTAGAAATGATGCGCATGTTTCATGAAAATAGGTTTACCATACATATATATTAATTTAGGGTGTGATTAGTTATATTTAAATAACACTAAAGACATTAAATATTATAGATAGAAATTATCAGAAAATTCAATATTTTCGTAGGGGTTAGCCCACATATTTCAAGATAAATAAGAAAAAATATGATATTTTTGTTTGACTGCATATCTTCATCATGAATTGACATAGTAGGAATATTAAAGAGTTTTAAGACCTTAGATGTTTCCGTTTTTCTGAAAAATAAAGTTTTCTTAGGAGTTTGTCCACTTATTAGGTGGTATATGAAGTTTATATATACTACTTAATGAAAAATTAGAAATGTTGCTCATGTACCATGAAAATAGGTTTAACATACATATATAATAATTTAGGGTGTGATTAGTTGTTTTTATATAACACTAAAGAGATTAAATATTAGAGACAACATTTATCAGAAAATTCAATATTTTCGTAGGGGTTAGCCCACATATTTCAAGATAAATAAACAAATATGATATTTTTGTTTTATTGCATAGCTGCTTCATGCACTGACATAGTATGAATATTAAAGAGGTTTAAGACCTTAGATGTTTCCGTTTCTTTTAAAAATAGAGATTTTATAGGGGTTAGTCTACTTAATAGGTGGTATATGAAGTTTAAGTAAATTACTTAATAAAAAATTAGAAATGATGCCCATATACCATGAAAATACGTTTACCATAAATAAAAGTAAGTTTATGGTGTGATTAGTTATTTGTAAATAACACTAAAGAGATTAAATATTATAGATAGCATTTATCAGAAAATTCAGTATTTTCGTAGGGGTTAACCCACATATTTCAAGAAAAATAAGAAAATATGAAAATTTTGTTTTATTGCATAGCTACATCATGCACTGACATAGTATAAAAATATTAAAGAGGTTTAAGACCTTAGATGTTTCCATTTCTTTAGAAAATAGAGATTTTATAGGGGTTAGTTCACTTATTAGGTTGTATATGAAGTTTAAATAAAGTACTTAATAAAAAATTAGAAATGATGCCCATCTACCATGAAAATAAGTTTACCATACATATAAATAAGTTTATGGTGTGATTAGTTATTTGTAAATAACACTAAAGAGATTAAATATTATAGATAGCATTTATTAGAAAATTCAGTATTTTCGTAGGGGTTAACCCACATATTTCAACAAAATAAGAAAATATGAAAATTTTGTTTTATTTCATATATACATCATGCACTGACATAGTATGAATATTAAAGAGGTTTAAAACCTTATATGTTTCTGTTTCTTTAAAAAATAGAGATTTTATAGGGGTTAGTCTTCTTATTATGTGGTATATGAAGTTTAAATAAATTACATAATGAAAAATTAGAAATGATGCCAATGTACCTTGAAAATAAATTTAGTACATATATATAAATTTAGGTTGTGATTAGTTATTTTTAAATAACATTAAAGATATTAAATATTATAGATAGAATTTATCAGAAAATTTAATATTTTCGTAGGGGTTAATCCACATATTTCAAGATAAATAAGAAAATTTGATATTTTTGTTTTATTTCATAGCTGCATCATGCACTGATATAGTATGAATATTAAAGAAGTTTAAGACCTTAGATGGTTTCGTTTCCCTAAGAAATACATATTTATAGGGGTTAATCTACTTATTAGGTGGTATATGAAGTTTAAAATAAATTACTTAATGAAAAATTAGAAATGTTGCCCATGTACCATGAAAATAGGTTTATCATACATATATATTAATTTAGGGTGTGATTAGTTATTTTTAAATAACACTAAAGAAATTAAATATTATAGATAGCATTTATAAAAAAAAATTAATATTTTCGTAGGGGTTAACCCACATATTTCAAGATAAATATAAAACATGATATTTTTTTGTTTTATTGCATACATGCATCAAGAATTGACATAGTAGGAATATTAAAGAGGTTTAAGACCTTAGATGTTTCCGTGTTTCTAAAAAAATAATTTTTTTTAGGGGTTTGTCCACTTATTATGTGGTATATAAAGTTTAAATAAATTACTTAATGAAAAATCAGAAATGTTGCCCATGTACCATGAAATAGGTTTACCATACATATAATTTAATTTAGGGTGTGATTAGTTATTTTTATATAACACTAAAGAGATTAAATATTAAAGATAACATTTATCAGAAAATTCAATATTTTCGTATGGATTAGCCCACATATTTTAAAATAAATAAACAAATTTGATATTTTTTTTTATTTCATAGCTGCATCATGCACTGACATAGTATGAATATTAAAGATATTTAAGACCTTAGATGGTTTCGTTTCTCTAAGAAATAGAGATTTTATAGGGGTTAGTCCACTTATTAATTGGTATACGAAGTTTAAATAAATAACTTAATGAAAATTAGAAATGATGTGCATGTACCATGAAAATAGGTTTACCATACATATATATTAATTTAGGGTGTGATTAGTTATTTTTAAATAACACTAAAGAAATGAAATATTATAGATAGCATTTATAAAAAAAATTAATATTTTCGTAGGGGTTAGCCCACATATTTCAAGATAAATAAGAAAATATTGATATTTTTGTTTTATTGCATACCGTCATCATGAATTTACATAGTAAGAATATTAAAGAGGTTTAAGACCTTTCCGTGTTTCTAAAAATAAAGTTTTTTTAGGGGTTTGTCTACTTATTAGGTGGTATATGAAGTTTAAATAAATTACTTAATGGAAAATTAGAAATGTTGCTCATGTACCATGAAAATAGGTTCACCATACATATATAATAATTTAGGGTGTGATTAGTTGTTGTTATATAACACTAAAGAGATTAAAAATTAGAGATAATATTTATCACAAAAATTAGCCCACATATTTCAAAATAATAAAAAATATATGATATTTTTGTTTTATTGCATAGGTGGTTCATGCACTGACATAGTATGAATATTAAAGAGGTTTAAGTAAATAGTATGATAGTATTTAAGCATTTTTGTTCCAAATTTTATTTTAGACTGAAAAATAGAGTGATAACTAGTTATTTTCTAATATAGAGTAACTTATTTTTTTTTTTTTTTATAATGAAAAAATAGAGCAAGATGCTAGAGTTTAGGAGCAAATTTGTATTAAATCTTGTGTTTCATATTAATTCTTAATATTTTGACGGAAAATAGGTTAAAAGTTTAATTTCCTATATGTCCAGGACGGGTGGTACGTAGCTAACCAGTGGCTCAAATTCTCATCGAACTTACCGTCGAAACCTAGAAGCCCTGTGTTAATGCCATGTTCTGTTTTCGCCGTGTGCGACGTGGGTTCACCATGGAGAAGCCAGTGGAAGCTCTTCTCGTGTAAGTTAACGAACCTGACAGTAACTCACACGAACTGGACTTGCTTGGAGAGACACGAGTGGGGAGATATTTTCGATATCATAAAACGACCGCGTTTACTGCGTGGGGATGGTGATTCTAAGCTGTTGATGACTGGTGGGTTAAAGTCAACGTTCTCGTTGAACCCGGCTTGTTCGACGATTCTGATACTTAGGCTTGATTTAGAGAGCTTGGAGTGGGAAGAAGCGGGGAGGATGCCTCTTGATATGTATAGAGGGTTTCAAGAATCGAGTAAGTTTAAGGTTTTTGGAGGTGGTGATAGGGTTTAGTTATCTGCTAAAAGGATGGGGAAGCTTGCAATGTGGGATCTTTTGGGAGGGTGGAGATGGGTTGATGGTGTCTCTGGTTATGGAGATGGGTTGTGTTTGAAGCTAAGCTCACATTGATGCAATGAAGAAAGAAAAAAAAAAGAATGTGATGTTTATGTTATTATTATCATTGTGGTTTTTGTGTTTCTTAAGGTGTTTTTAATTAATGTCTTGTCATTGTGGTTTGTGTTGCTCTTGATTCCAAGACTGTGCTTACATGAGTTATATCTCGATGTCTTTCAACTGGTCTTTTGATTCTCCAATATAATTGATTTATCAAACCATCATAAGAATGTTCATATTTGGTCCTTTTGACAACTATGTACTATCTTGTCATATAGAGCGTAACATTAAGAAAAGAAATGGAGGTCTCTTTGATGTCACTAAGCAATTTCTTCTCCATTGAAACTGATCTTGCTTCTTATATCCAACTCCATCACAAATCACATGAATGTTTGATCTCAAAGTATACTTCACCTGCATCTGATGATATGATATTATCAGCTTGAAAATGAAGGAATGTGCTAGTAACTAATTATAGTTTATGCCCATATTGCACATGCAAAGCTCAGTATGGGGACATATGTCACGAACCATTATGATCAGTCTATTTACTTGACTTAAGTTATTTTTATCCAGAATTAGCAACTACGACCAATCCCCTATATATTAATCCTGGAGCATTCATAAATGCACAACTTAGAAGAGCATGGTGACGTGTCAGCCTCACAGAGCTTCTCAGCTTAAAAATTTTAAACGAACCAACTTAACTAGGAATGTCACAATATAACATTTAACTCTTGGTTATAGGACTATAGTATATAGCCACGCATTTATCTATGTAAACTCGATATATTCATTTATGTATAGTCGATATACTCGACAATGAAAGAGTCGATTATAAGGTGCATTAATTAACATTAATTAATGTTATGATATATATTTTCTTCTAGGTTAGGAAACTCTGTATATAGGTTAGGAAACTCTGTTTAAGTCTTTTATATTACTTGTGCGTGAAGTTTGGTCATCATTTAATTGTCATCATTAAATAATATTGTAAGTAAAATATATATGGAATGAAATGTTTATAGCAATATTGTAGATTTACGTATATACTATTGCTAACAATTGGGAAGCAAAGAATTTTCTACATCTTTTGGTATGATAAGTGTGAGTAATCATAAATTCTTGACCTAATTGTCACATCATGCACGTCTATTAAATATATATAAGGAATGGGATGCATTACATTTTATGCATTCTCACATCTGTCAACGTCTTCCTCTCATTTATATTGAATAGTATCACTCAGAAACTAATGGCAATGGTAGCTTTCACCGGTGTCTCTGACTTGAAACCTTTCAAAACCATGTGGAAAATCAGAGTGAAGATAATCCGGCTTTGGAAGCAGTACTCAGCCCCCAATGGTCTCACTATTGAAATGGTTTTACTCGACAATAACGTGAGTATACAACTATTTTGTATATCTTAGTAGTCTAAAGTGTTACAGTTTCAATGTTTATTTGCATACTTATTCCACTTTGTATGATTTTAATGATCTCAGGGGTACAAGATCCATGCTACCGTGAAAAAGGATTTGGGTTGTTTATTCGATCCCTTCCTGAGTGAAGGGACATCGAAAATGCTCATCAACTTTTCCCTTAGTCCTGCTTGTGGATCGTACCGCACAACGAGCCACCTCGAAGATGTTTAACCTTTCAATTTTCATCTTATTTTCATGATTTCTTTAGATCTTTGTGGAGCTATGGTTGCTGTGGGGGAGTTGCAACAACTTCAGGAACTAGGAGCTGGCGAGATATATTCCTATCAGAATACAAGGATGGAGTTCGCTTTGGTTAATACAGAGTTCGAACCTCTCATTTTTACTCTTCTTTTAGTTTAGGACGTCATCTTAATTTTGTCCTATACAAACAACATGCTAACTAAACAATGGATTTCAGGCTAAGAAACTTAAGGTGTGTTGCATATGGCAAGGAAGCAGTGACTCTGAGTGAGTACTACCGTAACTCACGTGCTCCAGTGGATGTGTATGTTTTGAGGGCTTGGAGAATCCATTGGGGAGAAGATTAGCAATTGAAATGAGAATATATATTGCATGTAAAACTCAAATGCATATTTATTTATTTTGGTAATATTTTTATATTTCATATGTAGGTGGTTTCCGATATGTAACCAACCTCGAAGGCTGTTCTGAAGTCTTATTTGATCATGACATGGAAGAAATACAAAAATTAAATTGAAGTAAGTGTTCTATGTTAATAATTGTATTTGTATTTCTGTAGAAGCAAATAATTAGAGTTCAGAGTATTTATGGTTCTCTTATGTTTTGTGCGGTTACAGGATTCCTATCATAGAATAATGAATTCATTATTTCAGAGATGGAGAGTTTATCAGAATTGAAGACTTTTTGCTTTACTTAATATTCTATTTATATTTATAGTTTTTTTTGGTTTTCAACATCTTGCTGAATAACTATTTATGATAATAACTATTTATGATAACTTTTATAATTATGCATCTCAATAAAAAATAGTGCTTTACTTATATAAGTGTTCAATTATTTTATTTTCTGCCACCAAGCATCCGTAAACATAATGTGTATCGTAACGTTAAACTGAAATATACACTCCTTTCCTATCTTCTTAATCCCTACCTGGAAGGATTTCGATCTATCTACTTACGTGACTGTGAATATATTGTTAGTCGATCCAGCTCATTATAATTAATTCCAAAGCCTAACAGTCTTTTAAAATATTCTTTAACTTGGGCTACATTAGATAATACATTTATTGTTTTTATAGGTCTCAAAATGCTATAAATACTTCAATATAATAAAACGAACTCAATTTGTATAGCAAATACGATTATAACGGTATAATAAAACCACAAAATCCCCTATAAATGTCATTTCGTATCATGCATGTGTTATATTAAATTTATCGCCCGTTCTTATATATAGAGATAGAATTTCCAAATATTGAATTTTTTTTCATGTCAAACATATATATTTATTAGGTATTTCACCCTGCGCAGGGCGCAGGTTATCACCTAGTTATAAATTAATAAATAACGAACATATAACAAAGATCTCCCTCTCTCTCTTTCTCTCTTACCTTGATTTGACGTTTTGCCACTTCTTTAGTCTTTTTATTTAATGGCACTAGAAGTTATTGCTCCAGCATTGAAGATGTTGCCATTCTCGGATGGTATGTATCAAAATTCAGCTTATAGTTTGACGACTTGTTACACAAGCAATAAAGATGAGCAGTAAAGTCTCTCTCATTTTTGTTGGCTTTAAAAAGCTCTGTTTTTTTTATAGCCTAACTAACTTAGTGAGTTTGTTTTTTGTTTTTTTGACAACTTGGCTCTGACTAAACGCAAGTGTTCCATTGTGTTTAGAAGCAAGATCGTGACCGTTAAATTCACGTTCTATTCTCATCAAATAACACTTTTATTGCAACATAATAATAGTTCAAGCATCATAAAAACAACTAAAAAGGGTTCAGAGAATTAAAATACAAGAAAACAAAATATGATAATAATAATAATAATCAAACAAAGACAAAATGTCTACTCGATCTCCTCGATCTCAAAAGCGGTTCCAGATGGACCCGCCTCATGTTGCACGACTTGCCTTGAAGCTTGTAAACCTCGAAGATCTTCAGCCACTCTCCTCATGTCTGGCCGTTCAACTCCACACATTTTGGTGCAGCTCATCCCTAGAAGAGCTACTTGGTGGATCACTGCCTGATTATCAGCAGTCACCACCCTCTGATCCATCACCTCACTTAGGCGATTTTCTTTGAACGCCGCGTCTATGTGACTGACCAAAACCCTCTCCCCGAGTGAGGGGTCAAAGGTCAATGCCTTTTGGCCCGAAAACATTTCTAGCAAGACAACACCAAAACTGTAAACATCACTTTTTTCGGTCAGGGTACGTGTCCGGAGATACTCGGGATCGAGGTATCCCCACGTACCCTGAACAAGGGTCGTGAGCTGGCCTGTGTTGTTGGGAACCTGCCTAGAGGCCCCAAAATCACATAGCTTCACAGACAAGGTCTCAGTTAAAAGAATATTTTCGGGTTTGATGTCGCGGTGGACTATTGGGACAGGACCAGAGAAGTGGAGGTATGATAAAGTCTCGGCGATTTCTGACGCAATTCGCAACCGGTCAGGCCAAGCTAGAGAGGATGAACCGAATAAGGTGTCATGAAGGGTACCGCCAGGAACGTATTCGTAGACGAGGAGGGGACTTGGGGTTTCGAGGCAGCAACCCAAGAGTCGAACCACGTTAGGGTGGCTGATTTGGGAAAGCAGTATGATCTCGTTGACGAACTGACCAGCTTGGTCAGGGTCCCAGTTTCGAGATCTTTTGATGGCGACCTCAACGTTGTCTGGAAGCGTGGCTCTGAATACCACTCCCTGGCCCCCTCGACCAAGGAAACTGGCCTCGTGGGTGGCTTTCATGATCTCGTCCTCGCTGAATATCTTGATGCACTGATTCGGTGACTCTAGGAGTCTTTGGGCCAACAACACTCCACCATTTGACTCAAAGCGCCTCTCTTTGAGTTTGGCTACTTGACGGAAAATTAGTTTGAGGAGAATGCAACACACTCCCACCACGAAGACCAAGCATCCGATGACGATTACTGGTTTATTTATTTATTTGTATCCTTGCGGAGTTTAGTTAAATATGACAGATATATATATATATATATTTCTCAAAAAAATATATATACAATAAAGACTATAAATTAATATTAGCTAAAAATAATAAACACTATAAATTAATAATTTATATACATGCATGATCTCAAATTAGATCGGCTCAAAATATGTAAGAATTCGATAAGAGAATAAATTTTTTAAAAATTCTATATAAATATATGATCCTACTAAAATTATAAATTAATAATTTCTATATATATATATAAAAAAAATTTATGTAGCACAAGTTAAACCATTATATTGTTTGTTTATATACCTAATGAAATTATCTTTATATTTTTTAACATTTAATATATTTTGATTAGATTTAGTAAAGTTATCTCAAACCACATTAAAACATATTTTATTTACATCAAATAATATAATAAAATCAATATGATTAATAAATTTCAAAAATAATAATAATTATTGTATATACACTAAAATCAATATTTTTATTTTAGAAGAAATATATTGTAAAATATTTTTCAAAAAAAGAAAAATTTCTGTTGATTTATAACTCTATGAAGTAATAAAATAGCATAATTCTAACATTATTAATTTTAGAGAGTTTTTAACTAAGTATATATAAAAAAAAAAAGCAACGCCATAATTAAAGAAAAAAAACTTACGAAGAATGGTAACAGTTGTTATCGATTCCTTTTTTTTCTTGCACCGGAAGACTCCATCAACTTTCTTGCAGGTTTGATCCTCCCCGCAAGATTTAACATTTGGTTGGCACTCATCCTTGTCTAGGAAAACAAAACAAAGAAACAGTAACAATTAGTGATGAGTAGATGAAAACATATTAGGAAAGAGTATAGGTAAAAAGAAAGTTTAACCTTTGCAGCCATGTTGCACGTATGGATTCCCTTCAAACCCCTCTAGACATGTGCAACTATACCCGTATCCATAACAATCAGTAAGATTAGCAATTGTGGTGCATTTGCTATTCTCTCCACATAAGTTTGTGTTTTCAGTCTCTTCGCATGTTCCCCTCACGATCCAATCAAGTATCACAGGAAACCTTGTAATGTTGCGGAGGTTTTTAAGATCCTCCGAGGCAGAAAAGTTGAAGTATCCATCTTTGACCATAAAAACATATTTGCAAGGATCCGAGGACGACCAACCAATATAGTTCCCTCGACTTACCGTTATCTTGCTTTGTAGATTAAAGACTGGAGTACGGCAGCAACCATTATAACCAGAGCATGATTTATCTCTTGGTGGTAAAGAATCGCAATGTGTATCACACGTAAATGAAGTGGTTCCGTCAACCCTCGACGTGGAATAGTAATTAATATAAAAATCACAACCAACTAGAAATAGTTGGTTCTTGTTCGAGAACACAAAACCAGCATTATCTATAGATCTGTCTTTATTTCCACCATCTGCTTCCTTGTGGTTGCATATGGAAATAACGTTCATAAGTACCTCTACTTCTCCGTCGTCGAAGGAGATGCTTAGCACTTCTAAGTTTGAGCTGTTCAAAAACAACTTTTTCTCCTTCTCATCACATCTTAGGAGAAACTTTCCTTCGTGGACACAATCAGAAGAGGTCGCAAATGGTTGCTCTATTCTGACGGTTCCACAAGTACTGGACTGGCAATCGGTGCGTGATTGTTGCCGTGTTGAAATCGAAAGTGCAGTAAAAATAACGAAGCACACCAACACATACTTCTGTGGCGAGAGTAACATTTTCTTTTCTTTTTTCTTTGGTTCTAAAAACAAAAATCAAAATCACAAAGCGGGTCGGATCGATGTGTTTGATTTCAGAGATGTTTGTTAATTAATTTTGAAGGGTGCGTTTGCTTTTAATATGGAAACAGTCTTTTTTTCTTTCTTAATTAATTATGGTTGAGACTTTGAGCTATGCGGTATGTGACAGACACACCATTTTATTGAACATGCCTTGCTTTGGAAGCGCTAAAGTCATAGCTACGTACTACTTGTAGTGGTTTTATTCAAACTGCATTGGCATATTTTTCTTCGTTAAGGAGTGTGCCACGTGCTATTAACTGCTCGGTCTAGCTCGTTGTTATTGCTTTGTTATTATTTGTTGTTGCCGTCTAGAATTGGGCTTCCATCTTCAACTTTTATGGGCCAATATTTGGGTTAGATACTTAGAAGAAAAAGTACGGGATATTACTAACTGCAACAGCCGATTACAAAGCCCAAGACAAGGACCATTTATTGTTTGACGAAGATTTATTTNCTGCTCGGTCTAGCTCGTTGTTATTGCTTTGTTATTATTTGTTGTTGCCGTCTAGAATTGGGCTTCCATCTTCAACTTTTATGGGCCAATATTTGGGTTAGATACTTAGAAGAAAAAGTACGGGATATTACTAACTGCAACAGCCGATTACAAAGCCCAAGACAAGGACCATTTATTGTTTGACGAAGATTTATTTTTTCTGTATGCAAGTCGGTCAAGAATTTGTAAAGTCCAATATGATTAGGATGATTTATCAGCACAAATCGTATTTGCATCCATTGCTAAACTTTTGATCAATTAATTGTGCACTTATACATCTCAAAAGTTCCCAAAAGTACCTAAACCCTAAAAGAATTTAAAACAAACTCCAAACATATATAGTAGACGTTAATTTATCATTGAAATATAAGTATATATTTATCTTTTTTGATAAAATATTTAAGTGTTATTTTGGTTATTTTTATTCTTAAGTGCTATATTTATGACAAAAAAAAATTAGTGCTATTTTAGTCATTTTCTCTTAACACAAAGTATTTAATTTTTCTTTTTTTTGAAGAAACACAATTATATTTGACAACAAGGCAAACTCTATGATGAGATACAACTTCGGCAAGAAGATGACGTGACATTGCCATTGATTGTTTAGAAGTTTTAGTTTCTATATTGCTTTAATTTGTCAGTGGGATTATGCTTGTGTGTGTTGCTGCCCCACATACATAGTTAGTTTTGTATTTAAGCATAAGTTGGGAGTTAAATGAGAATATGAAGAAAGAAAATTGTGGTAACTTGTTTCTTTAAGTCTCTGAGACCACACCTATCACTCGAATATCATAAAGCCAAACGCCGTTTTGCTGACTCTCTAACCTCCGTTTATCTGCGCCATCCACAAAAAAAAATTGGGTTTAATAACTCAACTTAAATTAGTTCTATTAAATACCAAAATCCCAAATACTTCAGGGTTCGTTTTGCAAAAAACAAAAAATTCTTCATTTTCTTCTTCTTCTTCGTCTCGTAACTAACTTTCTCGTTTTGCTAGATCCGATCGAGCGGTGGAATCCACCACGATGGTGCTGGTAACATCCGTCCGCGATTACATCAACCGTATGCTTCAAGATATCTCCGGCATGAAGGTTCTCATACTCGACTCCGAAACGGTAAAAAAAAAAAAAAAAAAAAAAAAATCCGCTCCTCGATTTTCATCATAACCTAGGGATTTGTTTTGGAGTTCATTAGGTTAGCAATGTAAGCATCGTGTATTCACAATCAGAGCTGCTTCGGAAAGAGGTTTTCCTTGTGGAGATGATAGATTCGATCTCGGCTTCGAATGAAACGATGTCGCATCTGAAAGCGGTTTATCTCGTCCGTCCGACGTCGGAGAATGTTCAGAAGCTGCGGTACCAGCTTTCGAGTCCTAGATTTGGAGAGTATCATCTGTGTATGGCTGTTACTAATGTCTTTTTTTGAGTAATGTGGAGAGTTTTTGTCATTGAGTAAGCAAAGATTTGTGGATTTTTTTTTTTTTTTTTTTTTCAGTTTTCTCCAACCTGTTGAAGGATACTCAGATTCATATTTTGGCTGATTCTGATGAGCAAGAGGTTGTACAACAAGTTCAGGTGGATTTTTTTTTATTAGATTCATGCTTTGGCTTTTGATTATTTCTCCATTAGACTGATTCTAAAAAGAATTTCGTTAGCGTATTATTGGATCAGGTTGAACGATAAGGTCTCTATAAAAGTTGCTTGAGTTTTTATTGTTAAAAAAAATGCTTGCCATAGTTGTTGTGGAGTTTAGTAGTGTTTCCTTCCTGCTTGTCTCAAACTTGTATTGCTTAGAAAACTCGACGTTGACGTAGTAGTGACGTATTTAACATAGTCCTTTTTGAGGAAGAGGCTGTACAACAAGTTCAGGTTGCTTTGGCTCGCTTCTTCCTCCATGATGGTTTTTAATAGGAGACTGATGCTAAAAGGATGTTTCTTAGTTTATTATTGGATCAGTATAGGGACACTGTCTCTAAAAAAGTTGCTTGATTTTTGATAAAACTGTAATAGTTGTGGAGCTTAGTATTTTCTTTTCTGCTTATATTAGGTTTTCTGATTCAAACTTGTATTGCTTGGTAAACTCTACGGTGTAGTGGCTTGTCTAACAGTCCGTTTATGTTGCAGGAGTTTTATGCAGACTTTGTTGCTGGTGATCCATATCATTTCACATTGAATATGGCATCAAATCACCTATATATGCTCCCAGCAGTTGTCGATCCCTCTGGTTTGCAACGCTACTCCGACAGGGTTGTTGATGGAATTGCGGCAGTGTTTCTGGCGTTGAAACGTAGACCTGTCATTAGATACCAGAGGACCTCTGATACTGCAAAAAGGATTGCACAGGAAACAGCTGTAAGTCTGAAACTGTGGGACAAGCTCTCCATATTTATCGCGTCAACCTGGTCTCCAGCTTGCTTAGTCCGAAAATTTCATGTCTCCTGCATTCACTTTTCAAACGATTTTATGTTTCAGAAATTGATGTATCAGCAAGAAAGCGGTCTTTTTGACTTCAGACGAACTGAAAGCTCTCCATTGCTGCTTGTAATTGACAGAAGAGACGACCCAGTTACCCCATTACTGAATCAGTGGACATATCAGGTTAACTTGACTAATATTGCTATTATTGTGCTACTCTCTGGTATATAAGATCTGCCTCCAGATGTCTTACTGAATAAAACTTGCTCATCAACGAAATCTTACTTTAGGCAATGGTGCACGAACTCATAGGACTTCAAGATAATAAAGTGGACTTGAGAGCCATAGGAAGTCTTCCAAAAGATCAGCAAGTTGTGAGTTCTCTCCAGTACCCTATTTTATTAGCTGAAAACTTAACAGCTAGCTAATAAGTCTCCTTTCCTGGCAGGAGGTGGTTTTATCATCAGAACAAGATGCATTCTTCAAATCTAACATGTACGAAAATTTTGGGGATATTGGAATGAACATCAAGCGAATGGTAGACGACTTTCAACAGGTGGCTAAGAGTAACCAAAATATCCAGACAGTAGGTAGAAATATGGCTAGCCTTAAACTATACTCCTGCAAAGACGTCCAGCTTTTGTTGCTAGTGACAATCATAATCTGTGAATGCGTTGTTTTTACAGAGGACATGGCCAGATTTGTTGACAACTACCCTGAGTACAAAAAGATGCAGGGCAACGTCTCAAAGCATGTGACCCTGGTTACTGAAATGAGCAAGCTAGTTGAAGCAAGGAAACTGATGCTGGTTTCACAAACGGAGCAGGACTTGGCTTGCAATGGTGGCCAAGGAGCTGCATATGAGGTATTGAATTTTCCATTATCTGTCGCATGCGAAGTACATCACATGTTGCATCCATCGAAATTAATCATATTGAGAAATACTTTGTCAGTAGGAACATGCAGAAGGTCTCACTGAATATTTTAGCATTCACTCGCACTGAATTCCGTACACATGTACCAGATCAATAAAAGATTATTGTTGCTGGGTATGAAAAGTTGTGCTGACTCTGTTGTAAGCACGAACCTCTGACTCGCATTTTATTCTTATTTGCAGGCAGTTACGGATCTCTTAAACAATGAAAGTGTGTCTGACATCGACCGGCTACGTTTGGTGATGCTGTATGCTCTGCGCTATGAGAAAGAGAATCCCGTTCAGTTGATGCAACTGTTCAACAAATTGGCTTCACGGTCTCCCAAGTACAAACAAGGGGTAAAGTCAAACTTAACACCTTTCTGTTTTGAATTGCATCTCTTTCTGGCACCTTTGAATAGATTCTTCCTCATCTCCTTTAAAAGTTGGAAAAAATGATTTAATAGATCTTGTTATCAGTATACTGACTGGTTCACCTGTTCTTTTGAGTTTCTTCCATGGTGGTTCTAACTTATACATTTCTGAATAACATGGAAAAGACCTTTCAATGATAACTCTCTGAATGTCTCACAACTGCAGCTTGTTCAATTTCTCTTGAAACAAGCCGGAGTAGAGAAGCGAACTGGGGATCTTTTTGGGAATAGAGACCTTCTGAATATAGCACGCAACATGGCTCGTGGACTTAAGGTCTGTATCTGAGATTATACCTCGCCAGGAACACATCGTATAGTTGCTGATTTGTTGAATAAAAAAATACAGGGGGTTGAGAATGTGTACACTCAACATCAGCCACTTTTGTTTCAAACAATGGAGAGCATAACCAGAGGGAGATTACGAGATGTGGATTACCCCTTTGTTGGAGATCATTTTCAACAGGGACGGTATGGTGTCTCACACTTCTTTTCTCTCTTTGTTTAAACTACTTTTTTTTTAAAAACTTTTATTCAAAAACTGCATAATTTCTGGTAATCGCAGGCCACAAGAGGTGGTAATATTCATGGTTGGTGGAACAACGTACGAGGAATCACGCTGTGTTGCTCTACAAAACTCGACCAACTCCGGGATTCGGTTCATTCTCGGCGGCACCGCGGTGCTT